TCACCAAGTCCTGTTACTTCTACCTTGTAAATGCCATGACTTTATATCTCCTTTACACCCCTGTGTCAATTCATCAATCCTTCCTGGATTTTGGCATTGGGTTTCCATCTCATCTCCCAACCTTAGGGCTGTTCCACTTCAATTCACCCTGAAGTGTGAATCTGTTCCTGCGATTCTCCTATGGACACCCTTTCCTGGGTCCCTACAGCCTTGGGAATAAAAATTAAACTCCTCAGCAAGCCACAAAAATGGTATTCATAATCCGATCACCACCTCCGATTTCAATACCAACATCACGCCTCTTCACAACTACTCCCAACTCCAGCCATTTTTAAGTTACATGAAAATCCATATTTTTCCTGTGTCTTATTCTCCTCTATGCCACCTTTATGCATGGAACATATATCCAGAGACCTGTACCTCCTGTCTTCACTTACCTAATTTCTGTGTAATACCTCAGTACTCCATATTCTCAATATTCCATCTCTCAAAGCACTGATGATCCTACATTGTGATTCTTTCAACACTTGTTGGTATAAACAGCAAGTTAGTTATCTCCACATATATGGTCTAATATCTAGTGAATAATAACAAATCACTGCCTTAAAAACAAATACTTCACCCAGTATTTGTGGCATTCACCAGGAGACAAACATCCAACCAACCATTACATAGTCAAAACCACAGGGAGAGACAGAATAACCTTGTCTTTGTGTATTTCATAAATATAAATTAGGGTAGAATAAATATGTAAATATAAAGCAACTTGAACCATCAAATAACAAATGAATGATGTAGGAGTCAACAAGTCACAAAGAAACCTATGGGAGACACAGACCATGAGGTACTCACTGGATGCTCAGAGAAAGTTCTAGGGCAGGGGTGGGCAAGCTTTTTGACTCGAGGGCCACAATGGGTTCTAAAACTGGACCGGAGGGCCAGAACAAAAGCATGGATGGAGTGTTTGTGTGAACTAATATAAATTCAAAGTAAACATCATTACATAAAAGGGTACGGTCTTTTTTTTTTTTTAGTTTTATTCATTTCAAACGGGCCAGATCCGGCCCGCAGGCCGTAGTTTGCCCACGGCTGTTCTAGGGAGAGGATAAGACTTACAGTGAGTATAAGTACTGTAGAAGCCTGCAGGATTATTAATAGTGAACACCTACATATTAAGTTTCATGAGGGGAGGGGACAGTTGGCCTTGTTAACTGCTCTGCTCCTAAGCCAAACACATGGCAGGATCAGCGTAGCCACTAAATAAGTATTTGTGCTGAAGTGAATTTTAAACTTTGCAGCTGGAAAAGACAACATCTGGTTTTTTTTTGTTTTGTTTTGTTGTGTCTGTAAGCCAGCGCTTTTCTCCGCTTGCCACCCCATAAGAAGGTAATTTGTGTTTGTGTTTACTAGAACTCTTTCCTCAAAAGTGAAATATTGCTTCCCTCTCTGGATGGCAAATGTGTTGTTTCAAGATGGGGAAGGATCTGCTTTAAATGAAGAGAAAGCTATTTCAGTCCCTAATCCTCAGAGCCAATTTTGGATCTTAAAATGCACTTTTCATCAAGAATCTTAACAAAAAGATTCTTGCCAGTTTAACCAAGACATCTAAAAATATGTCACTCGAAAGCCAAGCGCTCTGCTCAGGAACATTCTAACTGATGCCACGTTCCTTCAAAGATGTTCCATTGAGGCAGCCTGAGTCACATGGCCGCGTAAGATGCCATCGTCACCCTCCTGAGTAAGAACTCGGGACTGCATGTCATTTAGGTTTGCTGCATTTTTTCCTCAGTCTGTGCTGATTTTCCTAGAACTTCTTCGTACCCACCAGAGCTATATTAATAAACCAGACCAGAGTCACGTGTTACCTTGAGTTGGAAATCAAGTTAACATGTCCTCTGTCATTTCAAACACGAGGAAACTGGGACACGGTGATGTACATTCCTGACCCAACCTCACTTAGGGTAGCAGCTGAAGTGGACACTGGGCCTCTTGAGTGATAGCCGGGTGTTAAGTCTTCTATACGGGCTCCCCTCACAGAACACCAATGCCTTCCACATACATCCTTTCATTAATTCTGGTGGTCACCAGAGATAGGTACACGGGACTACTAGTCCCCTTTAACAGGTGAGTCACTCTCTCAGGGTGACGGAACCGCAGAAGCAGAGCTAGCAGCCAAGACTCCTGGCTCAGGTCAGGGTGTTTCTACCATTGTCATCTGCCAGGATCACCACAAGGACACAGACCTTTTCCTTTTGGTACCAATGAGTCAATATCCATGTGAATGGACTTTAGTGCCCACCCTTCTTCAAAGGGAGATTTGCTACAATAAAAGCAAGTTACAATCACCAGAGGTTGCAGGCCACAAAGGATGACAAGGCAGAAACATGGGTGTTAATCAATTTTGAGGTTTCACTTAATCAATCAACCGTTCTTCCAGAGCTGAATCTAATAAAAAAAAAAATCCTAATCCTTATAGACCTGCACACAGGCGGCAGAATGCCACACACACCTTATTTTACTGAGACACCAGCTATGGACTTTTCCATCTGCTGCTTCGAATCAAATAACCATGTTTACATAAACTAGCATACATCACAAAATGTTTCTTCGGAGGAGTAATGTGAGGTCAGTACGACTGCGAGCTGAAATAAGTTGATTTTGCAAGTCAGAATGTGTCTGGACAAGGCCACGTGTAAGCACCGGGCTAAGACAGGGTCAGGCAGGGGTTTTAACACTGGGTTCTAGTCATTAATGCTGCACCGCTGTCCTATTTACAACCTGACATCTGTCTTTACACTTTCAGCATCCCATGACTTTTCAGCAACAGTAAATAACTTTCAAAGATGACACCTCGCCTTAGCTGGGTCTATATTTTGACTAGCAGGTCTTGGCATTGTGTCCAATTCAGATACCTCCCTAAAATGCTGCATACAGGTAAAATAAATGAACAAAACTTAACAAGAAAAAAAAAAAGAAAAGAAAAACCCTGTACCAAACAATTTGGGATATAACACATCTTAGTTCTTAATCTATTGTAGCAACTTCTAGTTATGCCACCACTATCTCTGGATTTTAAATATTTCTTATTTTTTTCCATAAATTCCTGTGCTTGTGACCCTATAAAGGGGAAGGTGGTAAACTAAATTTGGGAGGAGAAAAGAGCATAAATAAATCAAAATGCAAAAGAGAGGACTCTAATTCAGTCACAATGAACCACACTTTCAAGTACCTGGGATTAAGGAAGCACTGACATTAGGACTTTTTTAATTTTTTATGGTAAAACTCAAAATATACACTGATGAAAGACCTCTAAAGTCCTACAAAAGTGGACATTTGTATATCTGAAAAATTAGCTTCCTAAGAAACAAGCATTCTCTACCCACATGAGACTTACAAAAGGTGTGGGAAATCTGAGTTTCTGAATCATTCAAGATTGTCTTAAGTCTGTGTTTATGTCCTACAGGGTCAAATCTTGCCAAATAATTAGAAAATAAGAAGATGCATCTCCTTAATACAGGGTGTCAGTTTTGAAAAAGGAAATGTATTTTAATAAACACTGCCTTTATAATTATTCAGTGTGTGCATACAGTTTTGGGGACACACTGGAGTTGGATATTCCCTCCAGCAGTCATAAGCTGTTTGAGAATCTTTTAATACCACAGGGTGATCACCTATCTTTGGACAGTGTACAGGGGAACGAGGATGGCTATTTGAGCTTCCTCTTTATTGAATTCTGGGACTATGAAAATTAGTGTAATGTGGGAAGCATGTCCACTACAGAGAACTTTGGATCTAGTTCAGTGGTTCTCAACCTTCCTAACACCGCGGCCCTTTAATACAGTTCCTCATGTTGTGGTGACCCCCAACCATAAAATTATTTTCGTTGCTACTTCATAACTGTAATTTTGCTACTGTTATGAATCGTAACATAAATATCTGATATGCAGGATGTATTTTCATTGTTCGTGACCCACAGGTTGAGAACTGCTGATTAGTTGATCTGTGTTCTAAATTTCAAATCCTGCTGGCTGGCTCAGGTGCAACATTCTCTTCAACAGTGCATTCCATTTCTAGGCAGAACCGTGCCACCACACAACCTTCTGAGAAGTGTGCTTTGTGCTATCAGAATTGAAAGTAAGACTGCAATCTGACACTCACATGTGCCCTTCTTGGAGAAACTTTTGAAGGGGAAAACTTCAAAACATGGAGTAGAAAACTCCAAAGTAAGTGAGGGTATCTGGGACACTTGTCTGTCTAGTGTATCTGCAGTGCCCCAACATGGGCAGCAGGGGGCGGACCTGCATGAGGCTACCCAGCCTTCTTCTGTTAACACTTGCCCCAAGTCCAAGGAGGTAGCCACAAAAGAGTGCTGTTATCAGTAAACTGTACAAGCTTAGGACATCAGGAGAATTATATTGCAGATGACACATGGGTCACAAGGGTGACCGATTTTTATTTTATTTATTTTGGTGATCGGGAGGCTTAAAGGAGCTGGAGGGGGGCTTGCCCTCAGTAGTAAAGCGAGAGACTATCTCTGAAAGCAACAAGTGGATGTGAATATTGCCTGGGGAATTTATTCAGCCTCTTTGCAACAGTTTAATTTGTAGATAATATTATCTTTTCCATGTTAAGTCAAAACCTTCCCCTCTTCCACCATCCCCACCCCAAACCCAGAAATTTATTTGATGAACCTGGTTTCTAATAGGACCTTAGGGAATGTGGCTTCTGCAGGAGTCTCCTGCAAGTGGCTGCGTTTTGCATGTGAACGTGTGATGCATTTTACTTGCTTTATGCCAAGTCCCAAGTAGTTGAACCAAGTTGGAAAAATCTGGAGGGACCAGAAAAAGCTGGATTTGAAACTACAAACACACAGGGTTGCAAAGCAAAAATCCCGTCCTTGCCCGCACTTCACACACATAGCTACACACACCCTGGCTCCTTTCTCCCCCCTGTCCCCACTGAATGTCTGAGGAGACACGGTCATACACCTCAGTACTCACCATATTGACTTCGGAAACCATATCGATGCTGGCAATGTCAATATTCATTCCCACGGCCACGGGGGGACCTGCAAACCAAGAGGGCCAGCCACGTGATTTCTCAGAACTTCATTCATTCTTAGCAAGAGTTGTCCCCGGGCATGGGACACTCTGCCCCAAGTCCCTCCCCACGGCTCACCCTCAAACCCTTCAAGTCCTGCTGCTTTTCTAAAAGGGTGGCAGGAGCTCCTCTAGGAAATGCTGTATTGGACAGGCACACACGTGTCCTGAGGGATGAGGGATTCCAGCTCTGTCTACACATGCAGATGCCTCGGCAGGAGCACACACACAACTCACAGAAGCTCAGGAACATTCCAGCCCAAGGGAATTTTATATATTGCCTTGAAACCCTCCTCCTCATTCACCCCCACAGCTCTTGTGTGCAGGTTTTAACTCTCCAAGCTTCATAAGACTCTGAAGCAAAATTAAATGGGCATATCAAGGTTTCTCAGGCTGCAGCGAAAGAGGTCTCTGGCCCTTCTCCCTGCTTCCCCTCCAAGCTCCTTAAGTCCCCCCCCGCAAACCCCCCATCCCGCTGCCCCTGCAGTGAGGCTCCCAGGACTGGATAATATCCAGACACCAGGCACTTTAAAGGGTGGTCAGAACTCTTCCAAAGTAGGCGGGCACAAGGGGTTAATGCCACTTCTTAACCAATTGTCTGCACTTCTTGTCCTCCAAAATGTTCACCGCAGCCTTCACTAAGCCAGGTTCTCTGGGCACACCATTAACTAAACTTGAGATTTGTAACTGAATGAGGCAATGGCAGTGAAGCAAAGGATCTATAACTGTGAAGCCCAAGGACAGCAAGCACCAATACATGCTAGGAGGGTCTCTCTCACTGAACGACCATCTAGTAACCAACCGGTTTAAGTTTGGGTCAGTGTCTCAATATGGTAACACTGAGACACATTCCATTCACCACGATGAGGGAGAGGGAAGAGACAGCCAGCACAACGCTCAAATGACAGCCTAGGAGGCTATAGCTGGGTTGTTTCTTATTTCCACGGCAACCCCATTACCTCCAAAATCTGGTCTCAGACGAATGTCATAGCCTTTCAGGAGTCTGTCCACCGTCTCTTTAACCAGGGACATGTTACTAGGATCATTGACACTAAAGAAAGAAAAGACAATAAGTAGGCATCAGTCAGGCAGCAGGCACGGCGTCCTCAGCGTCTATCTGATCCTCCCCACCGATCCCGGTTCACCGAGGTATGCAGAGCCCTTCAAAGTGTAAAAGGAAAAAACGGAAGCCTTAGGCACACTTACCTCTGCGCACAGACAGCGGCGATTAGCAAGGGGAAGGGCCAGATCCCAAAGCAGCCTTTTTTCCGAACTCTCCACATCCCTTTAGTTTTTGATGGGATTGAGGGCTTCACTGAAGAGAGGAGATCCAACTTAGTCTGCCCAGTGCAGTAATTCTAATGTGAGGCGCATGCGCACGGCGTACCAAAACATCAAAGGGGCAGCGGCGGCTGCCTGGGACCTAGCAGATTTTCCTGCTAAGAAAAATAAATAAAAATAAATTAAAGGGGAAAAAGGAAAAACATACATATGCATACTATATACATATTTGAATATATAAAAAAAATCACCCCGCAAGAGGACCCGGACTAAAAATCTTTGTTGTCCTCCCGTTAAGACAAAAACAACTAGAGCGGCTGGTAAGTTTCGGTAGTTGCAGGAGGCAGTTTTGCACCTCGCGGGTTGTAGGGTGTGTGTGTGTGTGTGTATGTGTGTGTGTGTGTGTCCTCTTAAATATGCAAAACCAGATTAGAAATTTAGGCGAGAGCAGGTGTGGAGTGCAAGCGGAAAACGGGTTCCTGGGAGACCACTTCTGGTCTCAGCAAGCAGATGGGGAGAGGAGTTTGAACTTTATTTCCATGGCGAAGAGCATCCCCTGCCTGGGGCGAGAGGATAGTGGAGATGGGGGTGGTGCGGTGGGGGGAGGGGAAGGTGGTGGGAGCAGGAGTGGAAGGGGGAGGGAGGAAATAAACCAATGAATAAAAAGGAAGCCAGAGAAAGAGAAGAATAAAATATAAAATGCTGCCTATTTTCCCCTAGGAGTCAAGGAGCAAGCTTTTCTTCACTACTCACGAGCGATTTTTCTTTATCCTGCTCCTCACCCTTTGCCCCCTATTCCCAGAGAAGAAACCCTCGGGGTCCCGGTTTCTCCGGGTGTGACGTGGCTGACCCGCTAGTCGGGATTATTTATAGCAGAAGGGCGAGGGGGGGGCGAGGGGAGAGAAGGCAGCGCTGCCTCTCCAGGTTCCAGTCTGACTCTGCAGTGGGGGACAATTAGCAGGG